AAACCATAGTGGAACCTTATCTCCAACCAGGAAGCAGCAAATGTCTTCATCGATCTAGCTACAGTTAAGTAGATACACAGGTCACTGCTTAAGCAACTACTAGCGAGAGCTGCTGCAGAATATAACCAGCCAATCCCAGATTTTAGAAAAATAAACGTTACACTAGTTCGACTTGTACACACGGCTTTGCGAATGCGGGGGCATGCTATTATCCCCCCTAGAGCAAAATCATGCATAACGCGAATGAAAAGAGCTATAGGAAATCCGGACGTAGATGAAACTGTTGTCAGCGAATCCGTTCGTGCTACACACGTGAATAGAACGCCGTTTACGCAAACTTCTCACGCCTAAATGTCTCTTTCTTTACAACCGAAAACCATCAAGTAAGCTGGTATTGTACGTTCAGACATTTTCTCGGGTCCCACATTACAAATACTGGCACCAACAATTACATAGAGGCAGTTCCGTGAGATATGGACAATTAAAACTGGACTGTGCTATTTAAAACACTACGAAATTGCACCAGAATTCATGACACTTCAGCCAGGCATGGCCCTAATTACTTATAGTTACCGTATGCATACACGCCCGGGCCGTGACACTGGCCAAATGACTGGACGTCAATTAAGTTAGGAATCCGTGTAAACTATAATTGTAACACATAATGTAGCTAGTAGTTGCTACCATTCGCTGCCTATAGCATCTTAAACCGAAAACCATAAAAAACCAGTAATTTACAGCTTCAGGATAAATAACAACATACACTACAGGAAAATATGAACATCAAAAATACCCATGTGTTTTTACATCGGCCACATAAAAACTATGCAGTAATTAAATTTTAACGGGAATTTGTACGAAAGCTCACAGCATGATCGAGCAAGTACTAACACACCTATTAAACAGAGAGGAAATATTTACAGATCTCATAGCACAAAGTCCAACATCGCTAAGCAGATATCACGCTACATATTTTCATACACAGCAGGCAATCAGTCCAAGCGTCACAGCAAAGACACTAGCATAGATAAGCTGTACCTCATGCGGCTTTAATTCCCGTGGCCTACCCCTATGTAAACGCCTACGGCAAAAATGCACATTCAACCCTACAGCAAAATTCCTCATGCCTACACGGCACACCCATTCGCGCTATCGCCAAAAATCTACCCAATTAAATATATTAATAGAGTACGACGTGGACCACGGTGGCCATGACATACCGAACCCACTTCTAAACAAACCCCCACTGGCCCATATACCAGTGAAAACTGCGCCTACTGCCTCCATAAACTCGTGAAAATCGTGTGCACGTAAAACACGAGTTGCGCTGCAACCAGCGTCCAGCCTCGTGCAAGTCCGGAGTCTAACAAATTAATCAATAAATCTTTTTAAATATTTTTTTTTAATTATATAATTTTATTCTTCGTTGCTTTTCAACTCCACCTTCTGAAATCTATCAAAACTGCAATAATCACACCTCAGAATTATGGTCAAGCGGTACAAAACACCGCACCTATTCACTGCAGTTTTAATACCAAGAGCATATATGTTAAACCATGGTTCTTTCATTCCAGCGGGGACGTATCAGTACAGAAACACAAGTGCCCGTCTGACGAAGCACATTGCTTGCGCCACGCACGTTATCTCCAACGCATTGTGTTAACGTCACAAATCTCCTAGCTCGGTGCCGGACGCAAAAAGTTCGAATAATGGGCAGTTGTTTTGGTCGACGTTGTTACAGTCGAAGCCACCGGCAAATTAGGATTCAATAAAGAAGGTATATAATCATGAACATAAACACTCAATGTATTTCATACATTTATTTTTACAAATAACACACAAATAACTACTTGCTGGTGCCGAAATCGAACGAGACATTTAATACAAATTGGAAAATGTCGTTTAAGAAACTTCCTTATTCACTTCATATTTGCCGATAATTCAAACGTCCATGCGTATGCATAATCTTTTAGTGCATCCACAGACTTCAATCCTACTCGGCAAATAATAGTAATAAAAAATCTGGAGCGCATCCATGTTTTGCTCGTCCATGTTCCAGAGTAGATGCAAAAGTCAATTATGCACTAATCATTGATGCAGTTCGAATTTGAAATTAATTCGCACAATGAAAATAACAACATCAAATCAATCAACACTGAATAATCCAATGCCATGCGCAAGCAGGCGGCACAAATTGTTTCAATAGTACCTTGCGACGATCCAATGGAACTCAGCAGACGCATTGATACACGTTGGATGTCGCTAATCCCAATTCGGCTACATCAGGTTTTCACTAATAAATCATATAATAGAATAAATGTGTTTATGACACTACAAACTACAGAACCAAAGAAAATATGGTACAAATACATGAGAACACGCAATTAACAATAATTTTAATAAATAATAAATAAAACTCAACAGTGTAGATACAATCGACAGCTATTAATCTTCCATAATTCCATACGAGACGAAATGGAATATAAATTGCCCAATGAGAGCTAGCGAAATGCGCATAGCCAAACGGGGCCGAAGTCTAATGCATGCCCCGCGGGTCACCTGCCTGAACGAACCTGGTAACGCCGTCACCTGAACGTACCCTGACGATCTAAATATGCTGGACCGCGTACCTCGCCTACTCCACTAACCATCTAGTAGTCGCCTACGCCACTCACCAACCTAACCCAACCAATCAAATCAGTACCAGGTACGTTCCAGTATACCGGACCGTACCCAGGGATCGTTCCCGGCAGTACCATGCACCTGGGGATTTACCACCATAACAACTGCCAAATGCCAACACAACGCAGCTGGCAGTGGTTGACAATTGAACTGCAAGCCGTCTATAAGCCGGCGACACACTAAAAAAGTCCCCAGAAATCGGCTCGAAAAAAATCTCTTCATACTTTGTTAACAATCGGCATCAGTGCGGACGCCTCCGAAAAACCAGGCCCCGCACACTTAACCGATAAAATTGTTATTTGTTATGGATAGTCCATTGAATGTCAATGTGACACGCACGTTCAGCATCGCTGCAAAAAGTCGCTCAAAATAATCGGTCAAAATCAAAACATTGATTGGAACGCATCATACATGAATGCCGATACAAAACGAATACCATCGTCTAACAAATGAAGGCGCAACCTACGCCTACGGCGTGATTTATCGGGCCTATCAAAATCGCGCTGATAAATGGCGTGCCCGCCGCCTCGCCTTACTGTAAAAACGCTGGGACAAACCACTGGAACGAAGCCTAAAACAAAACTGGTGAACGGACAATACCGATGGCTGACGAGCAGCAGCTCATGTTAGCATCCAGGGCCAGACCGTCTCTCCATGCACATACCCGACCCAACAATGCCGCCGCTTCTCCCACTACCTCGCCTCTCCCCTCCGCCCCCGCCGCAAGCTTGCTGCTGCAGGTTTCCGCCGGCTGCTCTATACATTATCAGTTCCGCCGCGTTGGTGCGGCGTGCGTGCGTGCCGTCGCTGCGCTTACGGCTACTTCCAGACCTAACACGGGGGTGAGCGTTATCGAACCTATTACGACACTGCGCATCCCAACCAAGACACACAACGATGCATTTCCAGCAGAAACTCACAGGTAACATCACAGCGCCGTGAGGAATGTCGCGACATTAACATCACAATCTGCCCACAGCGAATCTAACTTTGCACCTCCAACACAATTATGTAAATAAATGCTTGGTAGCGCGCACGCCGATCGAAGGCCACATGAAAAAAAAATCAGTAACACGTACGTCATCATACAAAACCGGCCACCGGCAGACAAACAACAAGACGTGGTACAGATCTATAGAGACTACATGAAACTCCAAAAGTACACAAAAAACCGCAATAAATTAAACTATCTAAGGAAGCCTAATGATCAGTCCATGCAGTCAGCACGGCATGAGACGAAAGGTTACGTTCCAGACCCAACTCCTAATCTACAAACTAATCGAAAAAATAACCAAAATCAATCTACTCCGTACGGAGATCCAAGCGGTAGACAAGACCTGAACCACTCCACCCGCCAATTGCAACAAGCAGTACGCTAATCGATAATACAAACAATTTACATAATACCATGTTTGACAAAACGTATCCGCCTTTAACTGCGAAATAAGACCATAATAGCCCAGTGCTTTCCCGGTGCTTTCCTCAACATCAGGGACGTAGAACTGTGTGCCTCTGAAACTTATCAATCTATTAGCAGCTGGCTTCATGCCATTTGACAATACCGTCATACATAAATACACCGCAATAAGTTATCTAAAACAACCCTCAGATTTCCAGGGACCATTACTTCACCTAAAAGCCTTCGTCAATCGGACTCAAACAAACCGTTAAACCAAAACAAAAAACGTGGTTACCGTACATCGGGAAAAATAAGTAGACTATAGGAAAACTTTCATTTTCACAAAATATACGCAACCATGTCCAAATCTTTACTTTGAAGCCACAACCGGCAATTCATGTTTTTTTCTTTTTTGTACTTAAGAAAATGACAAAAATAGGTCTGG